TTCTCAAGTGAAAGCAGTGTTTAGTGGCCAGTGGTGATACATTAGAGATAGGAGTGGGAAGAGAGCAAGATAATGAAAGCCAGTCATCACATTTTTCTATTCTCACTTGCTTTTGTTCCTCCTCCCACTAAAAAGCAAGTAAGAGAGGGTGCACATCCAAAAGAGACACCATCAGCACTTGGGACTTTGCATGAATTGCATGGTGTTTATTGAGGAAGCTTTTTATCTCCAGAACATTTTCAGAGACACTTACTTGGACTTGAAAGGGCTGGTGGATTTCCGCTGGCTGTAGGTCCTGAACTGTCAACCTCCTAGATGCAGGATAGAGATCTTATCCTTTACCCCCAGTGCTCATCTCCACAAGTCCCCTCCCCCTAAAGGCTTAGAGCAGGGTAGTTCTTGCCAGGTAGGTAGCTACAAGACCAATTCTTCAATTCTTGGTATGATGTGGGAAATAAGAGTATAGTTTTACCTAAAATTTTGTTAGTCCTGCTAATTTAGGATTTTTAGTAGTGTTAATGTATACTGTAGGTGAAATAGATTTTTATCAGCTTATTGGAGACCTAACCCCTGTGTAATGCTGTAAAACATCATTTCTGTGAGTAAATATTTTTGAGTTCTAAACAAGTGAAATTTTATAAGCTAAATGATATATGAAATACAAGCTATTTAGTCTAAAAATTTAAGTGTAGTTTATGCACTGGGGCTACTAAATTTGATTTACACAAAAATCATAGCTTTCTAAAAAAGTAAGGAATGATGAGAGGTGGAATCATAGAAAAAGGTGTTAAATTATTAAGTGATGTGGATTTGGTGAAGAAAAAGAAGTAAGAAGGGCTTAGAAAGCGTTTTACTTAAGGGATGAAGAGTCAAGAGCATGGTCTCAATGAAGAGTTGTCAAGATTCTTAAATCTGAAGCACGTGCTAAAATATGATAGCTGGAGGATTGGTCCAGACATACAGGTGATCCGTAGGTGAATTGGCTTTGTTGGTTAATAGTCCTTTTGAGGCTTTTGTGTGCTACAGATTAGCTGTTTGTTATGTATATCTTTGTTGGAGTAAAATCTGATTGCACTGTTGCCTGGCTTATAGACTTGTTCCTGAGATCATTGAGTGCTATGGTAGCAAACTCCTCATGAAATTGGTTCTTAGCAGCAGCCTTGGAAGCTGCTATATATGGAATAAAGGAAAGACTGATGGATATTCATATATTAGACATCTGAGAATTTATTATGAGCAAGGACTTGTTATTACCTGTAGTCAGTATTGAGATCCTTTTTTTGGCATACACCAATGTTTGTTTGGGAGAACTGAGAAGATATTGGTTCCACTCGAGAGAGTGTTTTGCGGAGTAAGTGGTAAAGCTTGGAAGATGAGATTGGAAAATCTGGTGGCTTGAGACCAAATTGGAAAGATTTTATCATCCAGGAAACAGGATTTCTTGTAGCCTGGTTTTGTTTTATTTTGCTTGTTTGCTTTTAAATAAATACAGTACACATGGCCAATCTAAAGATTTCAAACAATGGAGAGGAATATGAAGTAAAAAATGCAAGTTTTCTTTCCACTTTCCTAAACCTCTGTTCTCATTCCCCAGAAGTAACCACTGTTAATATTTTGTCACGCAGCCTTTATTTTTGTCACATGCAAACACAAGTACTTGTCTTTTTTATCCAAATGGGATTATACTTTAGACATGTTCTACATTTTGCTTTATTTCACTCAACAATATAAAATCAGAGGAATGTTTTAAAAAGATAACTCTGGCTTCAGTGTGGAATATGATATGGTTAAGCATTTGTTCAGTAAATTACTGCTGAGCATATACCATGTGCTGGGCTTTGTTCTAGGCCCCCGGGGATATAGCGGTGGACATCATTTCGGAAGGCATTGCAATGGCCCAGATGAGGGTTGAGAGTCCTGAAAGCCAGGAGGCTGGGTACAGGAACACTATTGTGATAAAATTAATAAGAACAGCTAATCAAGTGGTTGTGAGCAGTGAGCGACCAGGATATATTTAGGATGGTTTAAGGTGTCTAATTTAGGAATTTAGTAAACTACATTAGAGAAAACAAGGGTGTGTATGTGTATGTATCTGTGTGTATCTGTGTTTTGGGAGACAGGACTTTGTGGTGTGGAGGGAGTTCAGTTTGGACATAATAGCTTTGACTGATGTTAAGGATGGTGAGGCAAAGATTTCTGATAGACAGAGGAAATAAAGGTCAGAGCTCAGGACAGGTAGGAGGGAGAGTTGGGAATCCTTTTTTTTTTTAGTGTATTTGTAGTGCTGACGCCTTGGGAATGGGTACAGTTCCCCAGGGAAAGAGAGCTGGAGGGTGAATTGGCAAAGGAGAGTGAGGAGTGGTCATAAAGGAATGATGGGCACTGAGGGAATATCATTTTGGGAGCCAAAGGATAAGAGGGTTTCAAAGAAGGAGTGGTCAGCAGTGCCCCATACTACAAATGGGTCAAAAGAGGGAGCCCTGGAAAGAGGCTATTGAATTTGATGATTGGAAGTTTAAAATAACCATAGAGCAGTTTCAGGAGCTATCACAAGATGGAAAGATTCATTTGGAGGAGGGCAGTAAATAAGAAAAGGTGGGTAGTGATATAATCAGAAACAGGTGAGGATCTTTATCTTTTTTCTGTGGGCAGTTCTGAGTGTAAACTTTATTTCTCCAAGAGGTCTGTTAGTCAAAATGTGATGGACAACATAGAAGTAAGCTTCTGAGAAGCCAAAATAGATGTCACAAATTCAGTGTAATACAGTTCATGTACCTACTCTTTGCAGAAGTTTTTAGGCCTGTACTACTAGGTGCCTGTTGATGCTAATCCACAGACAATTCTAAAAACTTCTGTGATTTCCCAGGCCATAGCTGGTTAGAAGCAACAAACTAGCATGGTGGTGGAGTGTTTGGGGTATGGATGGGGTACAGGGAGAGGCAAGCATTCTGACACCTTCAAGAAGTAACAGCACATAACCTTTCAGTGAGGTAAGAAGAGACCAACACACACACACACTCACACACACACAATATGAGGACGCACTTAGTTAAGTAGTGTGCTCCCATTTACTACTGAAGCAAAGGAGACCCAGAAACTACACTTACTTCAGTAACCTCTGCCCGCCTGGTGCCTTTCTTGTCTTTCTCCCACTCTGAGATGCCAGAGCTCTTGAAGTGTAGTACACTCCTGTTATTTTAAAACTCTTTAGTGGTTTCCCATTGCATTGAGGATTAAGAGCCATGCTAGCATTCAGCCTCCCCTTTTCTTATCACCCTCTGTACCCTAACACTTTTGATTTTACTCAGTTCCTTAAAAGAGCCAAGCGTCTTCCCAGAATTCAGCACATGCCGTCTGCACCTCTAGGAATGCTTTCCTTCCTTCACTACTTCCTTATTGTACTGTTATTTCCTGCTCTTCCTTTAGATATCAGCTCAGTTGTCCTTTCCATAGGAAAACCATCAGTGACTCAGGCTCCCTTGTCACAGGCTGCTTTAGAACTGTCTTTACTTTCTTTGTATTAGTTATCTCTGTTTGTAATTCTGAGCTCATTTGCGTGGTTATTTGCTTATCTGTTTCCACTTGCCTCCAGGATCCTTTGTTTACAATGCTAGACACACAGCAGGCATTCAAAATTAATGTGTAAAGACATGTCTGAATTAACAAATACATGAACGAACCTCTTTTCAGCTGTCATCCTATGCCACCTCCATCTACAATGCCATTAATGCTAAGGAGACCAACATTTCATGTAAACTGTTCTATATCTGAACCACCTTTATTAAAATATTTATTCCCAGACAATTTGACAATCAGGTGTTACTCTAAGTGCTGAATCAAGGTGTTACTCTAAGTGCTGATCAACAAAACAAAACAGAAAAACATCTGGATGCTCACTCAATCTACTTTCTCCCTCCTTCCCTTCTCCATTCTTCCCTCCCTTCTTCTTTTTTGTTTTTCTCCTTTCTTCCCTCACTAAAGCTTATTTTAAAAACGAAATGTACATGTGATACACAAGTGAATTAACTTCTCAGTATTTACATGAGAGGAAGAGGGAGAAAGATTGCTTCATTCTCCCTCTGAAATTGTGCATAAGCTTGTGTTTTTTTTTTTTTTTTTTTTGAGACAAAGTCTCACTGTGTTGCCCCGGCTACAGTGCTGTGGCGTCATCCTAGCTCACAGCAACCTCAAACTCCTGGGCTCAAGCGATCCTCCTGCCTCAGCCTCCCGAGTAGCTGGGACTACAGGCATGTGCCACCATGCCCGGCTAATTTTTTCTATATATTTTCAGTTGTCTAATTAATTTCTTTCTATTTTTAGTAGAGACGGGGTCTCACTCTTGCTCAGGCTGGTCTCGAACTCCTGAGCTCAAACGATCCGCCCGCCTCAGCCTCCCAGAGAGCTAGGATTACAGGCGTGAGCCACCGCACCCGGCCTGCTTGTATTTATTTTTGAGGAGAAAAGGTGTCTGTGACCCGCTAGACAAATCCCCTCACTTTATAGGTGGAAGAATGAAGAATTTGAAAGCTTGATGCAAGTTAATAAAAGTAATTTGGGGCAGATCCAGGACTAGAAGCCACGAATCCTGTCTACCTTCTTCGGCTGTGTTAAGGGCAGTCCTAGAATCACAGACTCCTAGAGCTGGAACGGGTTTTGTTTACCTAGTTTAATGATCTTTCTTTACAAATGAAGGAATTGACACTTGGAGAAATTGAGTGAAATAGCTAGGAGGCAACAGAGTACAAATTAGAACACAGGACTCTTGATTCCTGGGTTTTTGCTCATTCTAAATAATACGTATTTATATTGTCAGCTGCTGTTCAGAAAAAGATGTTCTGTGCCTTTTACACAGAACAAATTAATATTTTTATTAATTTGAATGTGGTATATCTGTCTGTATTTTACAATAAACGTTTTGCCTAGGTTTTAATAGGGGTAATTTCTGTGTTTGAATTTTTTTTTTTTTTTTTTGTCTACTATATTCTCTGCTTGCTTTTCAGGTGCTTTGAAGTCAAATAAAGAAGGAGAAATTTGCTCTTTGATACTGGAGACTACACAGCAATGGGGCCACGAAAGAAAAGTGTGAAAACTTGTCTTATGAATAATGAAATCCCAGAGGAAACGATATCAGATGAAACAAAGGACTATATGAATCAACTTTCACATGAAGTACTTTGCCATATTTTTAGGTAAGATTTTGGTTGACTTTCACCTACCTGAAATATATAAGAGCAAACCCTGGAGCTGTGCTGTCTAATATGGTAGTCACTAGCACTAGCTACATGTTGCATTGAAGTTTAAATTAGATAAAATTAAAATTCAGTTTATCAATTGTCCTAGCTACCTTTCAAGTGCTTAGTAACCATGTGTGGCTTGTGGCTACTGTATAGGACAGCACAGAGTACAGATAGAAAATATTTCTTTTGTCACAGAAAATTCTGTTGGATTGCTGGGCTTCTTGGAATTTTATTGGCTGATACATTTGTTGACTTTTCTTATCACATTATAACAATACCATGTATGTAAAATATAAAGCTGTGTTTCTGACTCTCTTTAACTACAACCCACAGTGAGAAACACATTTTGCTCAATGTGCATATATAGGTAAGTGACTGAAACAAAAGTTTTGTGAAATAATACCCATTATTACTATGCAGTGCACACAATTAAAGTTGTTTTGTGATTAACACAACACAAAACAGGCTTTAAAAAAAAAAAAAATTACATTTTTACCCAAACTGCATTATAACAACAATTAAAAAAAAAAAAAAGAAACCTGTCATTCAGGTTTCCACTGCTGTCTTTTTTCGGTCATTGTCTTTATTTATACCATTTGAATAAACAAATTCTATAATACTTCATCTCTGGAGTTAGAGACCTAAGTTTGAATCTTGGCTTCATTGTTTACTAGCTGTGGACAAATGGTAAATATAAAAGTGATATTATTAGGACTTAGTGAGATAATGCATAAAAGCACTTAGCACACTACATAGTATAAATGCTGGGTAAATTTTAATGGTTACTATTGTGTTCTGCCTTTTTTCATATTGTTAGCTGGTCTTCATAATTACCATTTTAGTCACTGCTTACTATTCCATTGAATGTGTATGTGACATGATATTTGCTATTTCCCTTGTCTGACATCTGGATTTTTTCCACTTTTTCTGTTTTCTGCAAGTACAGTTGCGATAAACTTTCAAGCATCTGGATTTTCTATTATCTTAGATTAACCTAGGAAAAATTTCCACATACGAAGTTCCTAGAAATGTTTTGAGGTTTTATAAATTATTGAATATTCGCAGATTATGAAGTTTTAAAATAGCTAAGCAGAGTTATTTTAGGGGACCATAAGCGCTTTTTTTTGCTTGCTAATGTAAATCTGTAGTAGTCTTTATCTTTTGTAGTTTGTTATTCTGTGACACAGCGTACTTTTTGTTAATTGGGCTCTGTCTGGGAATAGACAATTCAATTAAAATGTTAGGGTTTTTTTTTTAACATAACAAAATGATATCAATGTTCATCTGGCAGAAGAAAAATCTGCCAGAATAGCCAAAATTTTTCAGAAAAAGTCTAGCCCTACCAAGATGTTCAAATACATTCCGAACATTTGATTCTGGAGAAGGTAGCCAGACAGTTTGTGTGTTAGTCCATTTTGCGTTGCTATAAAAGAATACCTAAGACTGGATAATTTATAAAGAAAATAGGTTTATTTGCTCACAGTTCTGCAGACTGTATGAGAAGTGTAGTACCAGCATCTGCTTCTGGTGAGGGCTTCAGGGAGCTTCCAAACAAGGTGGAAGGTGAAAGGGGAGCTGGCGTATCACCTGGTGAGAGAAGGAACAAGAGAGGGAGGAGGAGGCGTGTGAATTCACATGCCAGAGCTCATTGTTCAAAGAAGCCTGCCACCAGGCCATTCATGAGGGGTCTGCCCCCATGACCTAAACACCTCCCACCAGGCCCCACCTCCAACACTGGGGATCAAATTTTAACATGAGATTTGGAGGGGCCAGATATCCAAACCATCCCTATCAGTTGGGTACAACAGACAAACATAGGCTGCCTTCAAATACATGCAGGGATCTAGTTTATGCTAAAATTATATTTGCATTAATAAGGAAACGCTGGGTGGATTATTTGGTGATGATGTCACAATCATCAAAACAAAAGCATCATTCTTATTTGTCATATCTTACAACTAAATTTGAAGTGGATCAATGAATTAACTAATAAAGCCATTAAAATTCTAGAAGAAAGCATAGATAAATTGCTTCCAGGGATAAGTGTTAAATGGTGGTTAGATAATGCTGGGATGTATTATGAACAAAGTGGATGATATTTTAAATTGAAAGTAGATCAGATAACATTTTGCAGTTCAAACAATATTCAAATGGAAGAGGTGAAATCAAGTAGGATGTTACCCTCTTACAGCAATTGGCAGAAGGTAGGAAGAACCGTGAACTAAGCTGAGTTCTTGAACTCTGTATGAGATGTTTATTCTAAAAATAAACAGATTAAGTTTTGTTTTATTTTTAGCCTTCTAAAGTTTTGATTTGAGGACTCATGTTGTAGTGCTGTAGTAGCTACTTAGTGTGCTTTCATGAAACAAGAAAAACTGTGTCCTTCCTTAAGAGAAAACTAACTTTGCTATGCCTGCTATGCTATTTATGTCTTTTCTAAAATGTGAAATAGTTGATCTGCCTTTTGAACTCCAGCTCTTTGACTATATATCAATAAAGAAAAAATGTATTTCTTTTTAGGGCAAATATAAAATAATCTTGATTTTGTGATTACTGATCTGTTTATATTTAAAGGGAGTATAATATTAACCCAGGCAAATACTTTGGATAACAATCAATGATTTAGAAAAAAATATTATAGTGGCAAACTTGATTTCAAAAACAAATTCATTATTTTCCATTGTTTATGAAATGTGTAGTTATGTAGTTCTTGAAAATTATTTATTCTACTTATTTCTAAATTACAGAGACTATAAATTAAATTATGGCTAGTGGTGATGCTTTTTTTATAGAAAGTTTCATTTGATTTTATTCTCTTTATTTAAATAGTTTTAAAGGGGAAGGAAGAAGGTCCAGAGATAGAATAAAAGGGAACAGAGAAATATTAATAGCAAGCATATGTGGACTTTTCTTTTAAAATTAGCAAAAATTTAAGTGTTAGCTATTTGTGTTAGTGTCTGACCAAACTATGTTGACATTCCTGCCCTTCCTCGCTCTTACCTAGCCATGTTACTGTTTGCAGGTTTAACTTTTCTGGAGCTAATTTTATGACTTATAAAATGGAGTAATAATAGCATTTACTGTATCAACGAGGATTCCAGCAGATAACAGAAGATACACTTAGCTCGAATTAGAAGATAGTTTAATGCAGGGACTATTTATAGAGGTATAGATGGGGTTAAGGAAACCAGTAAGTGATATTGAAGAATTCATCTAGGGGACTAGCAGTAACAGAAAGGCAGCATTGCCACCTATAGCCCTCCAATGATGCCTCCCATTGGCTATATTGAACCAACCATTAGCCAGAGGGCTAGGGAACACAGCAGGGCAGAGAGAGGAGGGAAAAGGACTGGGAGAGGGCTGTGTGGCAAACGGAGTAACCGGCTACTTACCTTTTAAAGTTGTTGTGAAACAATGAGTATAGTACAGTGTTTGTGACACAATACAGGCTCAATGAAGGGTAGCTCTTTTTTTTTTTTTTTTTTGGTCAAATTTAATCTAGGTGTGTGTGGAGGAGTGTTAAGAGAAAGATGAGATTTTCTGATCTTTCAAAATATATATGGGTGTTATTGGAAACAGAACAAGTGTAGAGATTAATTGAAAAGTTTCAGAAAGGAAAAGATATTAAAGAAGATTAGAAAAGAGGAAATTGAAATTCAGATGCGATGTCCTCACTTAATACTTATGCAAGTACTTTTATCAGAGTGTGTGACCTTAAAGGTGAAAGATCTAGGAAAAGAAATTGTATACTATAAAGTTAGTATACATGTTTGCTAATGGAGAAAATAGTAGTTTCTGGGGTGGTGGGGTGGGTTGAGAGAGCAGAGTCACTCTAGGAATTGGACTCTGTAAAAGATAGGAAATAACATTGTCCATGTTCACGTTAATTAGTTCTCTCTGATCTTTCTCAGGTTCCCTTATCATCATAGCTTGAAATGCACTGAGATTTTTATTTTCTTCTTTTCTTTCTTTGTTTTTAGATTTTCTTTGTCTATATTAAAACTCAAAAGAAGAAAAGCAGCTTTTATCAAATGCCATATGGAGGAAGCTCAATATATTATTTGAATACCCGAGTGTTTGCTAACTTACTGATTTTTAGGAAAAAACTCTTATGCATGTTAGCCTTAAAAGCCCTGTGAATGTTAAGATTTTTATTTCATTTGAGGGGTAGGAGAATGGAGGGAAGAAAAAAATAACTTATCTATGAGAGGACGTACTTACCCACTTGATAAATATGAGTTTCTTTCTCTCACAAAGGTACCTCCCTCTGCAGGATATCATGTGTATGGAATGTCTTTCCCGGAAGCTAAAGGAAGCAGTGACCCTGTATCTGAGAGTCGTGAGGGTTGTGGATCTCTGTGCAGGGAGGTGGTGGGAATACATGCCAAGTGGTAAGTGGATTTAGGTATAGTCGAGCCCTACTGGAGAGTGATAATAATGGTCCCATAAAATGTTGTCTTGAGAAAGGCAATCTAAGTCACCTTGTATGTAAGAAGGCAGGATTTTATCCAAATTATTTATGTTGGCTTTAAGTTGGCAAAACGCATTTTGCCTAGGTTTTGCTCTTCTAATGGCCTGCTGTTTTCATTTCCTACTACTTAAGGAACTATATCAGCCTGTTTCACACAGATATGATTGGAGAACACTAACTGAGCCTTTGAGTAACGAAGTATATGTGTATCATGTTAGACAGTGTGTCCATTAGTCTATGATGCAGGTTTTCTGGGGAATGGTAACATTGTCCATCATAGTTTTCCTGTGCACCTTAACTGCACGCTCTAGTTAAACACTTATTTTTGTAAAACTGTTCTAATAGGCCACAGAAATTGCACTTCTGGAACTTTCACTTCTTCAGCACTTTTCAAAGGCCTGTATTAGGTCTTGGAGATTCTCAAATAAGGCACTGGCCTTGCAGTTCAGTGAAGAACTCAGAGTTAACAGCCTAACCACAAGAGATTGTGCTCAGTCGAAGAGACCATCTAAAAAGAAAATAGTGACTTCAGCTAAGCGAAGCACTCCTAAAAGGAAAAAAATTAAAATGACAGGCCAGTCAAGGCTTCTTTTCAGTTAAGACCAATCCATTAATTAGTTACTATTGTTTAGCAATTTCAAATCTTTTTACATCACCCTTTTTCTGTGATGTCTGGATTTGAAAATATCATGGGGCTCAGGGGGACAAAAAAAAAAAAAGCCTTAGTAGAAGTAAAGGGCTGAGGAGATAGTTGTCTTGTTCTGTTCTGTGGAACTGAGCAGGCGACCTCTGGAATACTGGAATAATGTGCAGTTTGCAGTGCTGCATCCTTTCAGGGATCGTCAGTGAACTGATAACTCCGTTAGTTGGCCAGAGTCATTATCAATATGTGCTTTCTTGTGAAGAACATTGCAAAGATCTGAGGCTAGAACTTAACTTTGTGGGAGGCAAACCACAGTTGTCATCAGATGCTTTTAAAAAAGCCATTCTAGGGGGAAAGTATTTATCTTATTCCAGAGATCGATCATTCATACAGATAAGAAAAAAAATTAGAGCAATGTGAAAATGGTTGCCTTATTCCTTTATTAGATTTACTTTAGTAGAGGTTAGACCAGCAGGAATTCTGGAGATGGGATTAATGCACTGTATGAAGAGGCAGGATAGCAGAGCTCCCATGTGATGCAATTTTAGCATTAGCATCTCTGCTCCTTGCCAAATTAAGGAAGAATTTGCACGTTATTGACTTTCAGGCTGTGATAAATACCTATGAGCCCAAGGTTTCCCATCTCTGCAATGAATATAAAAGGGAGTCAAAGCAAATAATCCTTAGCCTAGGATAAGGTCACACTAACCTTGCTCACTGATGCCACCTTGGTGTTTAAACTCTGATCCTTTATATAATAGTATTTTATAGTTTACATATGTGATTTCTTGGGGTTGTCACACCCTCTCTATAAATAAGATATTAATAGAACTTTCCCTGTTTAGTTGGTGAGAGGCAATATGTAACATAGGACAAGAGTATGGATGTTGGCAGTGGTCAGACTTGGTTTTGATTTCCACACCACCACTTGGTAGCTCTTAAACTCTTTGACTTCATTTTTTCCATTTGTATATGGGTGATAACCTTTTTGACTTTGGTTGTGAGAATAAATGAGAAAACATGTAAAATGGTTAACACACTGAATGGCTCAGTCAGTAAAGGTTACCATACAAGAGAGTAATAAGAACTATTATTACAATTACAGAGACCAAATAATCTCCAGGGTCCCTTCTTACTCTTCATTTTTGTGATTCTAAAGTTAACATATCTGGACTAGTCCTATATGAAAACTTAAGTAAGATTTAGTCATTTGGGGTTTTATTTTTATTCTGGACAGTTAATATTTTAATTTGTCATTAGCGATCTGGCAGTTGGCTTTCTGACAGCTCCCATTAAAAATAAAAAGCCCTTGTAATAGATAATATATCATCTGTATGAGACTTGTCTCCCTGCTTATATAGCTAATAGCTCCTGCTGTGGAAGTAACCTCTCTCTCTCAGTTTCCATCTTGTTGATTCCTACTATGTAGCACAACTGGCCTCCCAAAAAGACAGCTTCCTGTCCAACTCAGCATCCCCTCAGTTTGGATCACTCTTGTTTTCTTAGATAACTTGTGTCTGTCTTTTCCAAAAGAATAAATTTTCTAAAATGGCAAGGGAGTGATAAATACCAGGACAGAGTAATTATTAGGAAATGGATAAGAATAAGAGAACCTAGTTTGAGATGCGAATTAGGTTGGAACTGTGAGCTTCCTGAAGATGAGGACTACCTTTTATTTATGTTTTTATTTAAGTGTTCTACAGAGCCCTGGAACTTTTATAGACCAGAGAGCACCTTTGGGAGAGGAGGAGGGTGGTGATGATCAGGTGGATGGTCCCTCTCCGTCCACCAATCAAGTAGATCCAAGTCATCTGGGTTAAAGCGTGTTTTTTGCTGAAGATTTCTGTGCCTTAAAAACAACAACAAAAAAGTCAATTATAAATTAAAAAGCTCAGCTATAAAGTATTAACTCAGAGTAACTGGAGTTTGTGACACATTTCCTCTGCTACTAAAAGAATACATTTTCTGTTGTAACCATTTGGTCAGCTACAGTATTAGCCTTATGAAAATTTAAAAAGGAAATTCTTTCTTTTTTTAACTTTTGGTAAAAATTATAGGTGCCTAGTAAGTGTTAATGAACAGAAAGATTCTGGCCCTAAATACTTTTGAACTTCTCAGGCTTCACAGATTCCAGTTTTCTAACGCTATTGAAGAAGATGCCAGATGTCGAACAGCTATATGGCCTTCATCCGCGATACCTTGAGAGGCGAAGAGTAAGGGGCCATGAGGCTTTCAGCATTCCAGGAGTCCTAGAAGCTTTGCAGGCATGCCCAAACTTAGTGGTGAGTGCACCTGGTTGGACATTTTGGCATCAGCTGTTGAAGAAATAATAGGCCAAAGAATGATAGAACATGTTTACTCATATACAAATTTCATCCATAACAAACTTGTTTTAAATTCCATTGTATACTTAGCATTTTATGATACAGAAATAGAAGCTGTAGATGCTAAATTGGAAACCTTTCTTATGATTGCTTTGGCATTATTTTCTAGGGTGTGGAAACTTCTCATTTGGAGTTGGTAGAATCCATTTGGACATATATGCCACATGTTCATATTTTGGGGAAATTTCGTAATCGTAATGGAGCATTTCCAATTCCTCCTGAAAATAAACTGAAAATTCCTATAGGAGCCAAAATTCAAACTTTACATTTAGTTGGTGAGTACGTGTTTCTTGGGTCACTTAGAACTCCTTGAAATGCCGTGTAACTGAATATTCATGGAAAGGAAATAATGAGAATGTTGAAGGTGTCTTTGTTGATGGATGATGGCAGAAGAAATGCTTGCGAGACTTGTTTTAAAACTCAGATTTCCCATTAAAGACCCATGGGAAAGTATACTGCCTCATACGTGTGCATTCTCCACTGAAATATTTTTTTTTTTTTTTGAGACAGAGTCCCGCTTTTGTTACCCGTGCTAGAGTGAGTGCCTTGGCGTCAGCCTAGCTCACTGCAACCTCAAACTCCTGGGCTCAAGCAATCCTACTGCCTCAGCCTCCCAAGTAGCTGAGACTACAGGCATGTGCCACCATGCCCGGCTAATTTTTTCTATATATTTTTTTAGTTGTCCAATTAATTTCTTTCTATTTTTAGTAGAGACGGGGTCTCGCTCTTGCTCAGGCTGGTCTCGAACTCCTGAGCTCAAACAATCCGCCCGCCTCGGCCTCCCAGAATGCTAGGATTACAGGCGTGAGCCACCGCGCCCGGCCAAATATTTTTTGAAATTATATACCAATAATTTCAACCTAAATAAATAATAAGGACAGATATTTTCTCAAATACTATTTACATTTGGCTTAGACTTCTTAAAGGAATTTTGGGGGACCCCTGTTAATACACTCTGACCTTTAATAGTCATTTAATATTTTATTCAACATATACATATTGAGTATGTGCTGTGTTCCAAGCATTATTCCAGGTATTGGAGATGGTCTGAAGAATTAGAAATTTCTGAAACTGGGTCAGGTGGTAAAGGGAATGCAGCCCAGCAGGAATAAGAAGTAGATCTTAAATAAGATGCATACAGTTATGGAAGAAGAGTGAAAATCTCTAGCAACCCTTCATTTATAAGATCAGGGAGTTGGCCAGGTGCAGTGCTCACGCCTGTAATCCCAGCACTTTGGGAGGCTGAGATAGGAGGATCGCTTGAGGCCAGGAGTTCAAGACCAGCCTGAGCAACACAACAAGACCCTATCTCTATAAAAATAGAAAATCAGAGAATGACTTTAATTAGTAACTTAGATATCTTTGAAATTAGATTTTTAGATAATAAAGGGAGTCTGTAATATCTGTAGTTTATAATATAAGCTCATTAAGGTCAAAGAGTGTTTTTATATTTTCCATCATGGCTATCATAGTTCATTGCAAATATAAACACTTCGTAAGGTAAATTTTATTGAAATGCATTAATTCATGTGATTCATTCAACAGTTTAATACTTACTGTATGATGGTAATATAAAGGTGTGTTAATGAACATGACCGAAGGAATGGGTAATTGCGTCCTTTGTTTCTAGAGTGGATTTGGGGCAAAATGTAGATTGAGCATAGGGTATACTGTCTTCTCTGGATCTGTCTCACCCTTGCTACCTTGAGTTTCCTAATCAATACAACCACCTTCATGGTAGATGCTAAACTTACCTTTGTGAATTCTGCATATTGCATCTCAATCTGTACCTCACTTCTACTTTTCTGCTTTTGGTCTCATCCCCAGTTTTACTTCCCTTCCCAAGTGTTGCCATACAATGTATGTGCATAGTTCAAGCTAAATTTAGCTATGCTGTTTAGAGAGGACTAGGTTAAGGAGTAATACTTGTAGGTTACAGTAGGAACATTCTGCAGAATTTAGCCTTTAAAGAACTGACCATTCAAGTACTCCAATTTTGCTTTCTCTAGTTACTCTTGCTAGCAGGGCTTGTACTGTCTCAAGTTTAAAAGGTGTATTGAGCTGGTTTTGCCAGTTACGGTTTGTTAAATGCCATCAGAAATCCAAGGAGAAATCCTTGAATTTCTCTCATAAACTTGTGTAACTTCCTCAGCTTTTCTCAAGCCCACAGTGTTTAGACTCTTGGGCAAGTTTCTCAAACTGCTTCCTTCTGTTTAGGATTTACAAATTATCTTTCTTTCTTCCTTACCTCCTGAATTTCCCCCCTCATTCTGTGCCATTGTCCTTCTTCTAGACCTGGTCCTCCTAGTACTATGCCACTCAGGGATCAGAGGCATAAAATACCTGTATCAATTTGAAATGCTGGAATAAATAACTGTCAGATTTCTCACTTTCCCAGAACCGTGCTGACTGGCTTCTGTCACATATTTACTAATCATCATGATTTGTGTATTTGTAGAAATAGCTATTTAAGCTCTATCTCTGGATGTCTTCTAGAAACCACAATATTGACATCCAGCTATCCTGACTTTGTGCTGAGAAATATAGTTTTTCTACTAATGGGGGAGTGAATATTGGTAGTCCAGTCTTAAATTTGTGTATTCCATGTCTATCTTCACAATTTTGCTTTTAGTAACCTATTTTCACTTTGTATCTTCTGGGCAAATGATCCTGGAAGAGTTGTAAGATTATGAGAAAGACTCACATGTGTAAAATGTAGAAATACTTTTTAAATCCCATCTTCCCATATGCCTTTTCTAAAAAAATTTACAAAGTGGACTGTTTATGGTTTGCATAAATTGCTCTTTATATTAATAAGTCTGTTTTAAATAAGCTACACTTAGTTGATTTTAATTATATAATTTGTTGTAATAAAAATCTCCTTGAAAGGTAAACTATCAATTTAAAAAATAAACTCTTGATCTTATGTGCAGAATATAGGGTATTTCTGTAATGTTATTGTTTGTTCTTTTTTTTTTTGTATTTGTGTTTTAGGGGTGAACGTTCCTGAAATTCCTTGTATCCCAATGCTAAGGCACCTTTATATGAAGTGGGTAAGACTCACTAAACCACAACCGTTTAAAGACTTTCTTTGTATCAGCTTAAGAACTTTCGTCATGAGGAACTGTGCAGGTAATGGTACACAATTGTGGTAGAATTAAACATATGCGATTCTAAAAATACCCTAAAGCAAACTCTGTAGCTACATTTGTAAATAAAATTATGTTATTCAATTACTATTTATGTTTTGTAACTTGTAAAGATAAATGTACTTTTGTTTTAAAGATATTAGAAATATGGTTTGTGTTTGACCTTAGCAAAAAGCAAAACGAACAAAAAGAACAACAAAAATAAGTCAGAATATCTCTATGTGTTTCTTATAGACACTTTTTACTTTTCATAAGATTGTTTTATTAGATTTCAGTCAGCTTTGTTTGTCTCTGGTCTCCTAATCATCCTACATATAAATAGTTGTCTCATCTAATCTACCTTAAACATTGTTTTTATGATATTATTATTCTGAACAGAAACCTTCAGTGTCCCTATTGCCCTAGAGCTGTGGTCCTCAACTCCCAGGCTGCGGACCGGTATCAGTCTGTGACCTGTTAGGAACCAGGCCACACAACGGGAGGTGAGCGGCAGGCAAACAAGTGAAGCTTCATCTGTATGTACAGCTGCTCCCCATCGCTGGCATCACCGCCTGAGCTCCGCCTCCTGTCAAATCAGCTGGATTCTCAAAGGAGCGTGAACCCTACTGTAAACCACACACGCAAGGGATCTAGGTTATGTGCTCTTTATGAGCCTTAATGCCTGATGATCTGAGGTGAAGCTGAGGTGATGCTAGCGCTGGGGAGCTGCTGCAAGTACAGATTATTATTAGCAGAGAGGTTTGACTGCATAGAGACCATAATAAATCAATTGCTTGCAGACTCGTATGAACCCTATCAGTGAGCAACAAGTGACAATTAAGCTGCATCAGGTGGCAGGCTTTCTAGTGGCAAGTGAGTTGATGTACTTCAATGGTACAGCTGCATCTGGTGGCAGGCTTTAAGTCGGAATCCAATACTTATTTTAGTCCACACGTGGCCCGCCCGTTATTTTATTTACCACTTGCGTCCGCGCCTCTTTCCTGCACTGTGCACTTGTCTCAGTCACAGTTTTGTTAAGCCCACAAGCTAACACTAGCAAAAATGAGTAAAAAAAACAAACATCGCTGAGCTTCTTTGGAAAGGGGGAAGAACCCAATGATGAGACAGCAGAAGACTCTAAGACTGCCAACAAAATGAAAGCTGCATTTAAAAGAAAATACCAAGATTCCTACTTAAATTACAGGTTCATTACAACAGGTGATTCACATTGTCCAAGCCCACTTTGTATATGTGGCAACCGGCTATGCAATGAATCCAAAACTGCTTCTCCACATGGAGACCAAGCACCCTGCATTAAAAGATAATTCCTTGGAGTTTTTCAAAAGAAAAAAATATGAACATAAACAGAAGCAATTATTGAAGAACACCACTTCATCAAATGTGTCTGCACCGAGAGCAGCATTCTTAGTGGCAAACCACGTTGCTAAAGCTAAGAAGGCCTTCACTACTGGTGAAGAGTTGGTCCTGTCTGCTGCTAAGGACATTTGCCATGAACTTTTAGGAGAGGCTGCAGTTCAAAAGGTGGCGTTTGTTTCTCTTTTGGCTGGCACCATAACTAGACAAATTGATGAAAGAATAGAAGATAGTGAGGCACAATCGTTAGGATTAATGAGTCACCATGGTACGCAATCCAGGTTGATGAGTCTACCAATATTGACAACAAGGCAACAATGCTTGTTTTTGTGCAATATTTTTCAGGAGGATGTGCATGAGGATATGTTATGTGCACTCTTGTTGCTAACCAACACCATAGCTGCAGAACTATTCAAGTCTTTGAATGATTACATATCACGAAAACTGAGTTGGTCATTTTGTGTCAGTATATGCACAGATGGAGCAGCTACTGTGACTAGACAGCTTTCTGGTTTCACTACTCGGGTCAAGGAAGTAGCTTTTGAATGTGAGTCTGCGCACTATGTCATCCATAGAGAAATGCTGGCTAGCTGAAAAATGTCACCTGAACTAAACTTTTTTTGGGATGCAATTAAAATTATCAACCATGTTAAAGTACACGCCCTTAACTCACGTCTGTTTGCACAGCTCTGTGAGGAAATGGATGCAGAACACACCCATCTTCTCCTTACACACAAAAGTGAGATGGCTTTCTAAAGGTAGGTCACTGGCCAGAGTTTTCGAGTTCAGAGAGGCACTCCAGAGATTTCTTTTAGAAGAACAGTCAGTGCTGGCAGCACATGTCAGTGACACAGAATGGGTCGCAAAACTTGCTTACTTGTGTGACATATTCAACCTGCTCGGTGAACTCAATCTGTCACTTCAGGGGAGAACGACAACCGAGTTCAAGTCGGCAGATAAAGTGGTGGCTGCATTCAAAGACGAACTGGAATTAAGGGGGCGACAAGTGAGCGTTGGGATTTTTGACATGTTTCGAACATTAGCAGAGATTTTGAAAGAGACTCAGCCAGAGCCTTTTTTCTCCCAGCTGGTGCATAGTCACCTATCTCAGCTTTCATAAGAATTTGAGCATCACTTCCCAACCACAAAAGACCCCTGAACTGGGAAGGAGTGGATCCGTGACCCATTGGTGAATAAGCCGAATGAATCAACTTTATCTGTGCTAGAAGAGGTCAACTGCTCAAGATTGAAAATGACGGTGGCCTTAAAAGTATGTTTGAGAGAGCTTCAGATCTCCATAGGATCTGGGTTAAAGTCAAGGTGGAATATTCTGAGATTGCCACAAAAGCACTGAAAAGCCTGCTTCCATTTCCAACATCCTGTCTTTGTGAGGCAGGATTTTCTTCTGTGCCAGCAACCAAAATGAAGTTATGGAGTAGACTGGACATGAGCAACACACTTCAGCTGTCACTGTCTCCCATCAGCCCCAGATGGGACCGTCTAGTTGCAGGAAAACAAGCTCAGGGCTCCCACTGATTCTGCATTATGGTGAGTTGTATAATTATTTCATTATATATCACAATGTAATAATAATAATAGAAATAAAGTGCGCAATGAATGTAATGTGCTTGAATCGTCCTGAAACCATCCCCCCTCCCTGCCCCCAAATGGAAAAATTGTCTTCTGTGAAACTGGTACCTGATGCCAAAAAGGTTGGGGACTGCTGCCCTAGAGCATCAAGTGGGAACTACTCTGCATCAAGGTTCATAATAACCAGGACCCCCTTATTCTTGTCCTTATTCTGCCTCTGTTCTAATATATACCTTCTTTTAGTGCCTGTTGACTGTCCCCTACACAACCATACACTTTTCACCTCAGTGTCTTCCCTTAATGCTGTATTATTGTTTCCTAATCCTGAAACACCCTCTTCCTTCTTCCTCTTTACTTATATACATCCTTCAGGCTCTGCTTTTTCCAACTTATCTTCCTCTTCTCTTTTCTTGTTTATGGAATATAGCAGATCTTATTTTTATACTTGATGCATTCTACCTTTTTATCCTCTTATAATTATTTATGTTCTATCTCCATGTCAATTACAGGCTTTTTGATAGACAGGACCATATCTATTATGATCTTCCATAGTCTCTACTACAACACTGATCACACAGAGATGTTTAAGTGATTGAGATGTTTACTTGAGTGGAGGATCAAATTTTCATCTTGGCTTTTCCCCCTTAGTTATTTTGAGCTCAAAACTGTGGAGACTTCAGAGAATTTGTAAAATGTACTACATATCTCTCCAATGGTACTGAAAAATCCTTATGCTGAATAAGTATATAGTTAACAGGCCAACTTTCATTTGTAATAAGAATTACAGATTGTAGAGAGCCAATAATTCGGCTGTCATTTTAAGACATAGAATTTATAAATTATTCATTTTAGTCACTAATTTGAAAATTCATTTTTAAGACATTTTACATTGTTCCAGTAAATTTTTTTTTTTTTTTTCCAGGACCCACGAATTCCTTGAAATATGTCCCTTTAGTAACAGGCTTAGCCTCTGCCCGAAACTTGGAACATTTAGAAATGGTTCGAGTTCCTTTCCTTGGAGGTCTTATCCAACATGTAGTTGAAGACAGTTGGAGATCAGGTATTCATTTCTTTAGTTACTAAATATCTTAAAAGTCAATTTCAAAAATTTATTAAGATTTTATTTAGCTTCTCTTACGAGTCTTTTTAAAAGAAAACGCTTGTAATGTGTGCTTTCTCTCTGGTGTGTTTGATGGAAAATAAGAAACCAAAGCATAGGCTAATGTTCTTTTTCTTTTTTACGCATGTTAAATGCTCTCAAAATAAATAGTAGAGTAATAAGGCATGTCTTCTGGATGGTTATTATTACTTGATTAATAATACCTTCTGTTATATTTGGAATCTTTCATAGAAATCATAACAGGAATTTCTAGTGACCTTTGGTGGTAAGAGATGTTTCGTGACTTGGACATTCTAGGCCTCCAAAAGAAATCAGGCATTACTAATGCTAATGCCTAACATTTGTTTATTACTTAATAGTGTATAAGATGCTTTCATGCTTATCATTTGGATATTAGTTTTATCCATAAGATGATGGCTTTTAAAAGAAAAAAATATTTCACTCTTTGTGTCCCTTATAGATAAATAATGGTAAGTAACAGAATGTGTATTATATGAATTGTGTATATCATCTTATTGCAAAAAAAAAAAAGAGGTTTAGCTAGATAGGTAGTTAACAGTTAAATCTAACTGGGTATCTAAAATAAAATAGAAAATCATCAAGTACTATTAGGTAACAAATAGACATTGTTATTAACACTGTTAAAATATAATGAAGAGTAAACACTAGTTTTAGACATTTTGTCAGTTAATCAAGTTCAGTATAAGTGAACTTCATTACATTGAGTCGGGGGATAGAACAGGCTCTTTTGAGACCAACAGCGTTATTTTATGGCTATAGTTAACAGGATAAAAATCAGAAGGGAAAAGAAGGCCACAGTGGGTCCATTCACTGGAGAAAAGACCTGAAGAGAGGTGGCAAAAGCTAAGAGTTTGTATAAAGGTCCCTAGAAGAGAAACAGAGACTTTCCTTCTCTAGTGAGTATTTAAGGAAGACCCTCTAGGAGTCAGCATACTTCACACAAAAATTAATTCCAGATGGATCATTGATCCAAATGTGCAAAATAAAAGAATGAAGTTTTTAAAAGAGAACTTAAGAGAATGTCTTATTGATCTTGGGTAGGCAAAGATTTCTTAAACAGGACACCAAAAAGCACTTACCCTAAATTAAAAAATTGTTAAACTGGACCAAATTAAAATTAAGATATTTTGTTCATGAAAAGGCATGAGTAAGAGAGGGAAAAGCCAAGCTACAGAGCGAGAGAAGCAATTTGCCGTACAGATAATCAGATAAACGATTTGTACTGAGAAAATATAAAGAATTCCTGAAAATAATAAGAAAAGAACAGGCAACACAATAGAAAAAAATGGGAAAAGACTTGAATAGAAAAGCCTTCACGTAAGAGGCTATGCATAGGACTAGTAAACATATGAAAAAATGATAAATTTTACTAATCATTAAGGAAATATAAATTAAAATCTCTGTGATACACAAACACTAAAGTGACTACACGTATGCATGCCTAATATGAAAAAGATAAGCAATAATGTTGGCTAGAATGTGGAGCCTTTCTTACACTCCTGGCGAGAGTATAAATTGAAACACTGTTTGGCAGTATCTACTAAAGTTGACTATACACATAACAGCAGTTGCATTCCTGGCTTAAAACCCAACAGAAAATGTATACATATGTTCACCAAAAGATGTATTTGAGATTATTCGTAGAAGTGCTGTTCCTAATAGGCCCCGAGTGGAAACAACCCAAATGCCCACCAGCAATAGAGTGGGTAATTAACACATCGACTACCACAATAGAAAAAAATTTTTTTCCTTGGGGCAACAGTGTTTTATTGTGAAAATAGAATAAAAACTTTGAAAACAAAACGATCCTTTCTAATTTAATGAAAAATTTGTTATTTTTTATTATTTTCTGTGAGTGAGTTATATGCAACTTGAAAAATAGTTCACGTGGCTTCCAAGGTGAAAAGACGTGTGTATAAGTTACATGTGCTTCATGAGGCCCCGGGGTAAAACTAGCGTGAGTTAAATACGATTCACATGGCAGTTAATATGTTAAAATGTGGCATATTCATACAATAGAATATTATGCAATAAGAATGAACAAACTACAGCTACATGTAACAATATGGATAAATGGCATAAACCAAATGTTTAGTGAAAGAAGCCAGACACAAAAATATACATGCTTTGTGATTTTATTTATAAAAATTCAAACAGACAAATCAATCCTTTGTGAAAATTCACTGAGCTATGCATTAATAATTCGTGTCCATTTTTGTATGTAAATACAAGTTTCAAAAACATGAAAAAAAATTAGTTGAAGTTAAAGTAGTGCTGGTCTTGTTCCATATGTTACATCGGAGGTTCAAAATCTGGCCAGAAAATAGCAGGGTCCCTTCTTTACAATTCTCTCATGAGAATCTGCCTTTCTGAAAATCCTTACTTAACAGTCTAAATCTTTGGAGTAGTTTTCAGATGCCATCAGAGTGTGTTTTCAGAATGAGTGTCTGTTTTCATCTCTTTTAAGGAGATGACTAACAGTGATATTTTATCTTGAGATATTTAAATGTAAAAACAAAACTTAGATTTACTTTTAAATAATTATCATCTATTGTGTGTATAAATGCTTTACTGAAAGGGCTATGGTCAAAAGAAATACTTATTTTTGTTCCTTATCTCCATTAGGTGGTTTTAGAAATTTGCACACTATTGTTTTGGGAGCTTGCAAAAATGCTCTTGAAGTAGATCTTGGTTACCTCATCATCACCGCTGCCCGTAGGTGTGTTTCCTCTTCATAGTGTGTCTTTTGTCATATAATTATATGATTTTTTTTCCTGTTTTACAAAAAAACTTGGGGAATGTATGTGTATATGAAGTTTGATTATGCCTTATTCAGATTTAAAATACAAAGGAGTTGTTTAAATAGCAGATGAGTATGTCATAGTGGTCCTAATGTTATGACTGATGACCAGTTAAACTGCACTTCAGACCCAGTAAGCTCTGAAAGGGTGTGGTTTCTTATCAGTGAAAAGCAGTTGCCTGTCTGGAAGTGCATGAAGAGTCTAACAGAAGTCAGCATTGAAGCTCTGGCATCTGTACCCCTGTCTGTACCCCTGTCAGGAATCATTGTCTCAATCTCTGGATGATTTTCTGAATTGTTTTAGTTAGTTGGTGATAATATTTGCTATTCAGAAATCAATATTTTAGAACAGCTTTTCCAAAATCTGACCTTGTAACATCTTTATATTTTTTAACCACATTTTCTTATCACTTTATGCCATATTTACTATTTCTACCTATGTAAGGTCTGCCCCTACTTCTATTTCCATAATATTTTCTTTAAATTAAATTAACCACTTTTTTTCAGTTTATTCAAAAACAAAACTCTTACTTTCCATCAATACAATATTGATTAGGAGTATAAGTAAGATAAAATGTGTTCCTAAATTTAAGTTGGTATTGTTACCTACTACAGAACTATACTGTTGTTAAAGTGGGCCATTAACAACTAGTGTAAGAACAATGTTAAAGAAATAAATATCAGCACCGCATACAGATTCTGACTTTGACTAAATCAGGTTTAGAAAAGCACTTGAAATGATATATGGTTCTTACTGTGTAATGTATGGTTATTTAATGTGTAGCTTTAGTGTACTAACTAAAATGTACCTACAGTTTACAAATACTCCTTTAAAGGAAATATCTTTGATATTTTTTAATGGAGGTGGAAAAGTTGTTGACATCTGTGACACTTTAAAAAAATCATAGACTTCTTTCAGAGCCTTACGTTAGGAAGAATCTTTGATTGTGATGGCTTTCATTTTAATCTGGTATGTTGTATGTCTTTGTTCATAGGTTACATGAAGTTCGAATCCAGCCTTCCCTAACCAAAGATGGTGTCTTTTCTGCTCTAAAGATGGCAGAGTTGGAGTTTCCCCAATTTGAAACCCTTCATCTGGGATATGTAGATGAGTTTTTGCTGCAGAGTAAGACTTATCCCATTTTATTTGCTAGAATTGCTGTAGGGAACTTACTTGACAAACTGAAATTTGAATTGGAATGTGCCATATTTTCCTGAATGTAAGACAACTTAAAATCTTAGGTACTCTCACTTCTTGAAAAAGAAACTTTTATATTAATGTCAATGATTTTTTTTCCAAATTGCCTGTGATTTTAGCATATTATAGAAAATATAATGATTAACAGTACACCAAGAAAAGATCCTTATCTACATACGATATTGTCTCCACTTTACTGCCCAAGTTTCTTTCCCCATTCTGCTTCATTTTTTTCACAGAATGTCATCCTTGGTTCCATTGTTGAATTTGATCTGCCACACTTCTTGAAGCTTTTGATGGTCCTCTCAGATGAGGTCCCATTCCCTGTCCATGCCCTTCTTTTCCATAATAAGCCCGCTGGGGGTTCTGGATTTTCCAGATAGTGTGAGCATATAATGGTCAGTATTATTTAATGATGATTGCTGTTGGAAGGCTTGTTCACAGCATTTTCTAGAATGCATTTACAATTGGGAGCTCATTCCTTTGGGTTTGAATGCATGTCAATTCATTACTCAAACTTTTTTTCCATATGGCATTATATAACACATGGAAGAAAATTTCCAGCACCAACATGTTTTTACTTTCTTAAGAATTAAATTCTATCCCATGTAATTAGCAACAAATCTTTCTTCAACTCTATCATACCAGATGACACTTTTTCCTTTGAATCTAATATACATTGTAGAATAACGTAAGAAAGGCTTAATTCCTCTAATCAGAACAGTCCAGGTCAAAAAAATGACCGTTTTTCATTTCTAAAATATGTCAGAATAATAGTTGTGTGTTTCTTTTCATTGTTCACAGTTTTCATTAATACAGCTGAAGGATTATTTTAAAAAGACAAATCATCTTTCCTTAGCCAGTTTAATACAAGAATCACTTTAAATCTATATAGCTTTGAAAAAGATCAGCTTTTCTCCAAAATAGCTTTAAAATACTAGAGTGATGTAGTGATTTTATGTAAAATTAATGTATTTGATACCAAGCTTTTCTGATTTTGAATGTGATTATTAACATTCTCTGTGCTTCTATAATATCTGTATAGTAACTTAAAATTATTAGTTTCTATAATTTTATTTTGTGTTTTTCCCAAATCTCATAACTTGAAAAATTTTGTATCTTCAGGATGGCCACATTTAGGACTACCAAAGGATTGTCTTCAAGAATTCTCTTTATAAACAGTTATTTCCTTACAGTGTTTCTCTTTCCTCAACACACATTTTCAATAGAATAAAAACCCTTTAATAGCCAGGCATAGTGGCTCACACTTGTAATCCTAGCGCTTTGGGAGGCCAAAGCAGGAGGATCGCTTTAGGCCAGGAGTTTGAGACCAGCCTGAGCAACATAGTGAGACCCTGTCTCCACAAAAAATAGAAAAAATAGCTGGGTGTAGTGGCATATGCCTGTAGTCCAAGCTATTGGGAGGCTGAAGCAGGAGGATTGCTTGAGCCCAGGAGTATGAGGTTGCAGTGAGCTATGATGATCCCACTGCACTATAGCCCGGGTGACATAGTGAGACCCTATCTCAAAAAACAAAAACAAAACTTTACCTTCTTGATTACCATTAGCTCACAGTTTTCAACATAAGTTGTGTTATAGTCTCTTTCATATTTAATACTTTCTTGATGTTGACCTTTGTACAAGCCATTGCCTTCTTATTCACTGAAGTTCACCTCTTTCTCCCATATTTATATACTCTCCTCTGTTCCTCCAAAGACTGCCTAGGATTCTATGTTTAAGAATAGGCACCAGGATCCTCTAACAGACCCATCTCGAAAAGGATGAGAATTCACTGCTCAGTCACACACTTTGACTTAGTCTCTCTCTTCTCAGTAATTTAGACTTGAAGCACCTCTCCAGGATGAGGGATTGCCTCTGGTAAAACTTGAGTCACTTTTTTGTTACAAAGAGTCTGACAAAATAAATAGAAACATCACCTTTATCCCCTGACATTTACAGTAAGAATGGCAGTACCAAATTGGGGAAATGGATGTGCTGGAAAATAGATGCTGTGTATTAGGATTAAAGAATAGTGACTGGGCTATAGGTAAGTGGCTGACATGGGTTAAGATGCTGATGATGTGTTTGATAAAATCAGTGACTCAGAGATGAATCCTTAGAGAAGAGTTCTTTGTTCATGTGGATTTATGATCTCAGAGCTTAATGTGAAGGTGATAGGGAGCTAAAACTCAGTGAAAACTTCCTCAGTGTAGAGGAATCTTTATTCCTAGAGCTTTGGAGAAAGATGGAATTGAAGCCTGCCTATTATTAATCATGAGACTTTAGCAAGTGACTCCTCTTAAATCATGTTTTCTCGTTTTTTAAATGGAGGTAAGATCATTTCCTGCTTTTCTCTTGGGTATCTCTGAGGAGTTAATGAAAAAATGATAACTACATTTATAACAATCTCTGACACTCAGGAGTATTCATTAAATGGTAGTTTTTACTTTTAGCTGATCTATGATGGGCTGAAAAGAGAAAAGAAACAAAAATGAATCCCAAGAGATATCATCAGGGTTTTGAGGAGTTGGCCAGAGGGAAACTCGAACAGCAGGAACACAATGGTAATCTCAAAAGACTGAATACAAGACATGACTTTGTCATGTTAGGCTATGGCATTTATGCAGATAATGCCAGGGAACAGGATCAGTTCAAGATTTACCCTATCTTAAGGTAAAAAGGCAAGTTTCATCTCGAGTCCAAAGGGCATGAAAAAAGTCCTTATCAGAAGGCTAAAGAAAATAGCTAAATTGTAAAGGCTGGATTAAGGTAAAAACTGCAAGAAAGTCAGTAAAAACCAAAAACAGGAACTATGGGAGAGAGACTGTGAACGATATGGAAGATAAAATTGGAAGAGTTTGGAGTAGATTGATTGTTTTAAACATGTTCTGAGCCAAAGATAGAAATCCCTGTGATGTTCGGGGCATCTTCACCAGAGCAACAGTGTTTTCTTTGTACTGTGTGTGGGTTGGTTGCAAGGACTGTGAGAGACATGTATTGAGCTCTTACATCCCCAGTGCTACGCTAGACACTAATGGTGTAACTGTGAACTAACTAGACATCATCCCTTCAAGGAGCTCTCATGATCAAGTGGATCATCTTGGAGAGTGAGGGGCAGGCAGGTGGGAGAAACGATGGTAGGAGGCAAGGGATGAGGTGTGATTCCCAATGGCATGATCTAGGTGGAGCATTTTCCTTAACTTACACCGCGCCCCTGGTTTGTGACCAGACAGTAGGTACTAAGGCTCAGTGGCATGTGTTTGAATTGGAAGTCTACTTTTGGGAGGATAGGTAGATAGTTACTAACCAATAGATGGGCTCTAAAAATGAATCTTGAATTCCCACAGTTTGTCCTTCTCTACACACGGCCACGCCAGACTCCAAGAACATGATCCTTATACTGTGAGGCAGTTGCATTTTTAAGATTTTAATTTCCTTTTTAAAAGGTAAAACTAAAACTTCACCATGGTATGAACCGATACAATATATTTCTCAGTAATGCTTTAAGAATTTTTGCTTCCTTCTTTCCTTTTCTAAACAGTTGAAAAATACTAGGTTATTAAGTACGAAATGTCTGACTTCTTTAAGTACTAAGTTTGCCAGTTGCTATCTCTGACATTTCACTTTGACATTTCTTGTTTTATTTTTATCATGAAGGTACATTCTCAGTCTTTCAAACACACCTTTTGCCTTGTGATTATCTTTCAAATTTTTTATTGGAATTTTTGTGAAACCATGGATAAGTCAAAAATTTGTGTTATTTTTGAGTATGACTTCTGTCATGGAAACAATGGTGCGCAGATAGCTCAAAATATCAAGGAAGTGTTTGGGAAGGTTGTGGCTAATGAATGCACAGTACGTCAAAGTTCTGTTGTGGTGATTTTAATCTTGAAAATGAGCCATGTGGTTGACCTGACCAACGTGGATAATGATCAGCTGAAAGCTGTGGTAGAGGTGAATCCATTTTAACCTATGCATGAATTAGCAGCAGGATTTGACGTTACCACTCCAACAATATTGGACCATTTGAAATAAAGCGCCAAGGTAATGAAGCTGGATAGGTGGGTTCTGCATGAATTGAACAAGTGTCAGAAGAGAAATCGTCTAAAAGCTTGCCTTTCTTTGCTGTTACGACGTAAGGGTAAACCATTTCTACGCCGTAATGAAAAATGGATTCTTATTGACAGTCACAAGCGTCCGGCACAATGGTTGGATAAAAATGATGTGCTGAAACACAGTCCAAAACTGAATATTCATCCAAAAACGCTAATAGTGTCTGTTTGGCGGTCCAGTGCTAGTGTTACCCACTACAGCTTCACGAAACCTGGTCAGTTGATTATAGCAGATGTCTTCTGCAACCAGTAAGATTAAACAATGGAGAAGCTTGCCATTAGGCAGCCAAGATTGGTCAACAGAGATAGGCCAATCCTCTTGTAAGACAATGCTTGACCACATGTCACACAAACAGTGCTGCTCAAACTACAGCAACTGGACTTGAAAACTCTCTGTCATTCACCAGACCTTGCACCAACTGACTACCACTTATTCCAGGCTTTGGACCACTTCTTGCAAGGAAAAATATTCAATTCTCAACAAGCTGTAGAAAACGCCTTTTGCGATTTCATCACCACTCACTCTTCAGGCTTCTTCGCTGCTGATATAAACAAGCTACCAGTAAGATGGCAAAACTATGTCGATAGTTTAGGCACATACTTTGATTAATTGTACTGCTTATTGTTTGAGATATAATAAACTAAACTTTTGATTCGAAATCAGACACTTTACATTTAACGACCTAATGTTTTTCTACTGCATGTCTCTTGCTTTTTAATATAAATATTTTATACAAGAAATGCTACCAGGTCAGGCGTGGCGGCTCATGCCTATAATCCTAGCACTCTGGGAGGCCAAGGCAGGAGGATCGTTTGAGGTCAGGAGTTCGAGACCAGCCTGAGCAAAAGCGAGACCCCGTCTCTACTAAAAATAGAAAAAATTAGCCGGGCATGGTGACATGTTTCTGTAATCCCAGCTACATGGGAAGCTGAGGCAGGAAGATCGCTTAAGCCCAGGAGTTTCAGGTTGCCGTGAACTAGGCTGATGCCACGGCACTGTAGCCAGGCAACAGAGCAACAGAGCAAGACTCTGTCTTAAAAAAAAAAAAAATTGCTACCATAAGTACAGACTACCTAACATAAAATTATACTTGCACCTGAATCCGATGATAAACAGTTGATACAGAATGATCATAGAGACTGATCATACTGGATGCCGAGATACAAAATTGGCAGCACTCCATAACACTTAAATGACACTTAAGAATTTGACTTTTTTTTTTTTAATTGATTTTTCTTTTTAGGCAGAATGGCTAATGCAGATCTCGTGAAATATGGTTTGGCTGACGTGGTAGAAAATCCTGGTATCATCACTGACATAGGGATGAAGGCAGTCAATGAAGTTTTCTCCTGTATCAAATATCTGGCAATTTACAATTGCCCCCATCTACACAACCCATACAATTGGATCTCAGGTACTGTAGACTTAGAAATACAGCTATATTGTATTGATGTTGAAATAATACGTCTTTGTTTTCTGTGTATGATATGTTTGTATTCCTAATGTAAAATGTAGATTTCTTGTGTGTGTAGATTATTCATACAAGCTCTGGGAACCTTTGATAACCAAGTTAGAAGTATATTCAATGCCTCTTTAAACTTCTGAAGTCCTCCGCCTAGAATTGCACTGTCCAGGTTATGGATTCAAGTGCCTTGATCTTTATATGTACTGCTTTGGGTTAGGTGTGTAAAACCAGGGTTAATGTTACCTAGAACCTAGGCTGTTCTAGTTGTTTTCCCTGAATTACCTTCAAAATGACATATGATCTGAAAGGACAAAGTAGGTATGTATATAGAAAAATTTTTAATTAGGTGACATATTAAACATTAACCTGAGGTGAAATTTTTTTTGACTGGAAATCCCAGTCTGTTTTAGACCTCCCGTCCTCACCCAGTCCCCTACGTGTAGAAGTGTGACTTTTACACTTGATCTTTTTTTCTTGTGGTGGGAGTTCATTTTCCTCTGAGAGAGTAATACTATTTGTTGTTTTAAAGGCCCTTTTAAATACCTAAATTTATAAATCTTTAAATATTCAGAGCTAGAGAAAGTTTTCCTTGTGACATCCACTTGTGACAAAGCCACTCACTGACACCTGTAGAACAGCCACCTCTGCTCTTGAGTCACCTCACAGGGACCTGATCTCCTTACAAAGCCACTTTCTAGTCCTGTTTTAGGGCTCTGGAGCTTATACTAAGATCACTTATTAAAATGGCCATGTCTCACCTACCAGAAGTTAAATTCCATTCCTGGCCCAGCTGAACCAAGAAGTTGTTGGGAAATATGAACTTTAGAATGTATCAGGCGTAGATCGCTTTAAAAAAATAACATTTATTGGGTTTTTGGTTTGTTTGTTTTCTTAAATACAGAAGAGTATAAAGAAGAAAACAAAAAAATGGCCTATAATCCCATCACTAAGAACTCCTGTTAACATTTAAAAAAATAAAAGTAATACATGCACTTGATAAATTTCAAACAGTACAGAAAGGTACAAAATGAAAAATCTCCTCTTCTCAAAGGTAACCATCATCAACAGTTTCTTGTATATTCTTCTGGACAAATTACTTTGTGCATATTGCAGCCTATATGTGTATAGCATTTAAAAATGATTTATATATACAAAAGGATCTTACTTTGTATACACTGTCCTATAGCTTGTTTTTTGCACTAAGTATAATTTGGAGAGCTTTTCATATCAACAAGCATACTCAGTTTTCCTTCATTTTTTTTGATATAGCTGCATAATGTTCTATTAAATAAAATTGCCATAGTTTCTTTATCCAGTGTCTTATTGTTGAATAGTCATGTAGGTTGTTGAGTGGATCACATTTAAATCAGGGCTGACTTGATTTCAAATTAGTGCTTCCCAGGCCATTTAGTTTTTACACAAAATTAAGGTATATAAACATCATAGCTTAGAGTCATCAAGTTTTAGAGATCATGAAATAAGGGACAAGTTAGTTAAAAAAAAAAAGGATTTGAAAGTCCTTGTGACCTATAGAAAAATTCATCAATAATGGGTAAAGTATTACCTAAATTCTGTCTGGTCATGTCATTTCTTCAACAGACCACTCAAGGTGGACTCGATTGGTTGATATCAACCTAGTGCGGTGCCACGCTTTGAAGCTGGACTCCTTTGGCCAGTTTATTGAATTATTGCCCAGCTTGGAGTTTATTTCACTGGACCAGATGTTTCGTGAACCACCCAAGGTAAGTCACATTTGAGAATTTTTGTTTACTTATTTTGATACTCAGGGAAGAAAACAAAACAACCTGTGATTTTTTTTTTCTTTCTGTTTAATAACATGCCTTTATAGTGTTATAGTTGGGCTTTTTACTGTCAGCCTCAGTGGAGGCATAAAGGTTATAATGATGCATAGCCTCCTGTTCCTATAAATGAGTATTAAGGGGTCTCTGGGGAAGGAAAAGGAGGAAGTAAGGAAGCTATCTCCATCAGTTCTATATAAACTAAAGGTAAGGTAAGGATAAGGCTGGAAATTTGAGCTAAGACAAAAATGATTACTTGGAGTAATTAGGTGGTAGATTAAATCTCTAATCAGAAACCCAAAATATTAATAAGGATTTGGAATTTATTTGGAGAATGTTTTACTTTGCTGCTATCTTCTCTATTAAGTTATATAAACTGGGAAGTCTGAAGTTGCCCAGTTGTATAAAATGTTATTTTAAAACTGCTTAAACTCTATACTCTCAAGGTAATTAAAATTTTACTTAATTAATTCTTCAGCTAATTATGTTCTCTTGTCAGGTATTAATGGTTGTATCCCCACTGTTGAAGCAGTGCAGTATAATGGGGAAAGCTCAGGATTTGAGGTCAGAATACTAGGTTTCAAGTCCCAGCAGTACCACTTACTGACCATGTGCTCCTGGGCAAATCTCTTCCTATTGTGTACCTCATTGTCTGTAAATCAGCGTAGTAACACTTTATCTGTTAATAGCTTGAAGTATTATGAGCCTTAAATGAGCTCTTCTCTGCGTGTGTGAAAGCATTTCACAAATAAGTGCTTTCTAAATATTAAGTCTAATGTAAACGTGAAATGATAGTCTATTAAAAATGAAGTGTATGTTCTATACTAACCCAAATGAACAAACATGTGGTTTGGTTTTGCCTTAGGGCTGTGCTCGAGTTGGTCTGAGTGCAGGCACAGGAATTGGGGTTTCCTCAGCCCTTGTTAGCAACCAGAACTCCAACAATGACAATGACAATAATGCCCAGAATAACAATGCCAACCTCCATGACAACAATCACCATCACCCAGATGACTCAGATGAGGAGAATGACTTTCGGCAAGACCTGCAACCAGGAGAGCAGCAGTTTGCAGCCGACGGTAACCCAGATCTTTTGTGAGCTCCAGATAGAAGTGATTTTTACTTTGGATCATATTTCTCTGGCTTTATCCTGTTCCCTTTTTCCCTTGTTTCAACTTTTCACTTTCTGCATTGAGGGGAGCTAATTAACAAGGCTCACAAGGCGATGGATGTAATTTCCCTATTTCTTTGCTTGTTTCAAAACCATCTTTGTCCACAGAATCTATAAGGGTGCTTATAGGATGAAAAAGACTGATAGATGCCATGGGGATTCAGGTGTAATGGTATAGAGGCCTGACTCAACTGAGAATTAACTTTCAGCATTTAGATAAAAGGTTGTCTTTTAAAGTCTCCCTGACCAATAGATAGCATGAACATGGAGATCATTTTTATATGTTCTAAGCACTGAAAAATTCATAGCAACTGTGTGCTAGACATTGTCACCTTTTATGTACCTTTAATCATTAAATCTTCACAACCACCCAGCAAATTAAATACATGAGCTAATAAAAACCTATTCAATTTAGGTTATATAATCATCTTTCCAGTTCTTTAATATTTACTGAACATCTGCTATGTGCTAAACCTAAGCGTTAATAGTCTCCATCTGTTCCTCGATTGATGGGTGAGGATGGAGTGAGATTGTTTCCTTACCAAATTTTCCAGTTGACCCTTAAGAACTGGGAGAGGAATTTTTTCTAGCCATCTTTTTCTTGTTCCCCCTTTGCCCACTCTCTTGTACACAGTAATTCTAGAGCATGTACGGAGCATGATATTTTTTATAATCGCTTTGAGTATATACAGGTCCTGACCAAAGAATCATAATTTCTCCACTTTCATGTGGAGAAATTATGGGGTAATTTCTCCACTTTCATGTTACTTGACATTTCAGCAGCACTTGACGTTATTGCCTACTTCTACATTCTTGAAATATTTTCCTCTTGGCATCTCTGAATCCATTTTCCTGGTTTTTCTCCTATCTCATTTGACCTGCTCCCTCAGTTTACTTTCCTTGTACCACCTCTTCTATTCCACTTTTATCGATGATCTCCCTTTCTCTCTACACATTTTCATTCAGTCTCATGGCTTGAGTACCACCTGTAATGGTATTAAATTCCACATCAATTCCAAAAGTCAGCCTTGACTTTTTTACTTTTTTGAAGTAACTGTAGCGGTATCTAGCTCCGTATTTTATTTCCACGTGATACCCTTAGGCATTTCAAACTTACGATAAAATCTCTCCCCTGATAATCTCTCACAAAAATACAAAAAGAAAGAGTATAGAGCCAATACTTTTTAGGGGTGAGAGGGGGGAGTGTCTGTCCTTTTGCTTTGTTGTCCCAAGTGCCACTGAACATTGTATAGGTCACTGGTACCGTGAAGATCTGTACTTCAGAGATCATGGACCATCCATGGGAAACTTACAGCAGCTGCAATGCAGAGCTGCCGAAAATCTATGAACCCAATTGTTGGAGTTGATGTACTGGACAGATTATAGACTCCAATGGAAAATTACATCATCATAGGCTTCTTAGTATGAGTGGAGAATGCCTTCCGTTGTGAAATCACATATTGGTGCAGCAAGTACCAAAAATATCTTCAGGAACATATTTGACTTAAGTTGTACCTGTATTTGATTTAAGAGAAAACAATGAAACTTAAATCTTAAAATTTGATTTACAAATATGGTTTCAGTAGATAAGAGACTTGTATACAAACCAAATACTTGATACAGGAAAAGCTCTTTTGAATTAAGAAGCCATAATTACTGTGAAAGGATTCAGCCTCAGCAGTTACTTAGAAGGACTGTTGTCAAGTACAGTATCTTTAAGTACTACTAAAGGCTGAGAAGCAGAGGAATAAGCAATACATAAACACCAAGATTGAAGAATTAAACAGCTTTGACAAGAGGAAGCCTAAGAACACCAAAGGTTATGGCAGCATTTATAGAGAAATGTAGATTAAGTTCCACAGGTCCCTCCAAGGTGGCAGTATATTTAGTTGTATATGTTATTATACATGTACACACACACATACA